TTGTTATAAGTGATTGTGCTTGTATATTTTAGAGCAGAAATTATATATTTACATGTTTGAAGGAGTGAAAGTAAGAAAAATGCCATGAATTCATGCATTGTCCTTAGTGATTGTCCTTAGTGCTTGTGTATTATTGAGCAGAAATTACATATTTGAAAGCGCGTTCATGTTTGAAGGAGTAAAAGTATGAAAAATGTCATGATTGATAGTGGTCATCACTATAATACTTGTATTCTTAAAATTTAGTGACAGATGCTTGCGACTGCTCAAGCAGGCGTTTCTTGACCCTTTGTCCGGGTCTTAATTCTCTCAATTTACTTTGGACATCATCGGGGATTTCATTTTCTTTGACCATTTGATTTCTCCTCTATATACATGAACATGGACATCATCGGGGATTTCATTTTCTTTGACCATTTGATTTCTCCTCTATATACATGAACATCAGTGGGTTTGCTGTCCTTTAAGTGAGACCAATTTATTGACATAGTCGAGTTTGCTTTTATGCAAATATATTGTAAACTGGTAATAAGATGGCCAAAGGGGACATGAAAAGGTTGTCCATCAAGGATTCACAAGGCGTGCATTATATTTGTGCTGGTTGACCAAACATAGTTGTATACACTGTGTAAGATCAGATAAAATATTTTATTTTATCAAATGTATGTTAAAGGGTGTCTGTGTTTGTACAGTATGACAATCAAATGTGTCACCTTGTTTTTAAAGTGAATTTTTTATATTGTGGCAAAATGAAGTCGTGTAGAATAAGAAGTCCTTAATATAAATTTTGTACACAAAGAATTGCAAGTTGAAAGTCTTCATAATCTTTGAAGGAATTTTAATAAGTTAGGTTCCTTAATTCCCTTTATCTTTGATTTTATCTTTGTCTTAATTGATTTGATCAGGTATTGCACTGATTTCACTTTCAATATTGACAAATTGAGCCTTGCAATCAATGCCGAAAGTAATCACAGAAAGATATAGAGACTGAGTACACAGAAAGATAGAGCACATAACACAGTTTTCATGCTGCATCAATATCATACCCAGCCAATTGACAGTGTCATGTTTTTTCAATAAATTGACTTATTTGTTACCATTCATTTCATGTTAGACTTTGGTATACATTAATATTTATATACATTGAAAGAAATGATCAAGTTTTATTGATGTGAAATGGGGCGGTTTTCCTGAATGGTTTCATTCTGTTGGTACAAGTAATTAAATAGCACTAGTTCAGGAAATCAGAGTTTTAACTTTTCGTATAAAAGTGGTTTGAAGTACGTGTTTGAAAGGACTCGTTCATTTCCTATGTAAAACGTATACTCTAAAAACGTATACTTGTCCTTTATGAAGTATCGATCTAAGCCATATCTCAAGAGTTGATTGAAAAAAAAAGTTGTGTTAAAATCATTATGACCTAAAATATATTGATGAGTCACTGATTGGCTTTGGCGGGTTTTGTTGAAAACTTTGTTTGATTAAGATCAGGTTTGTAGTAAAATATGGTTACGTTTAATGCAAGACAAGCCTGTTTGTTTATTCTTCCTACCATATAATGAATTTATGTATTTAAATGTGATAATTATATAGTAATATCCTAATATCCTATTGATTCTCATAAATGGAACACTTTTTATGGTAATTGGTATTCAAGCCCATCTTATAGCTATATATCTATGACAGTGACTATGTGATGAAAATTGCCAAAAAGGTTTGACCCAATATGTTGTCACTATGTTAAACCCGACATTTGACCTCTGTTAACTTATTCTATTGCTGGACAATGGTGGACTCTTATCAGAGGGAATACATAGGATTTCACTTTCCATATCTGTAGTACACTAGAAAAATTCCTCACTCACCTGACTGGTATATCAATTTTAAAAGTTTCATAAAGTAGAAGTATTACTTCAAGTACTTTGATGCTTAGTGAAGAGGTTCAGCAGGGGCATTGAGAAAAAATGTATTAAATATAACAAATTTCTTCTTTCAGAATATTGGGTCACAACTTGTCTTCAGTTAACGGACATTTTCCATTCTGTTTTGTCGCCAAGCAGAAATATTGCTAATGTGAGCGTGAAATTTAAATAATATGAAAGCGTAATTACATTTTAGAGACAAATTGTTCAATTTTACTTGTGCTTTGTGGCGTTTATTGGGTAATATATCTTCATTATCTATTCAAGGACAGCTACAATTTTTTTTTATGAAAGTTTAAGGATATTTATAAACGGTTTCCATTTGAACACAATGGTCATTATTCCTTGATTTTCTTACAGACTTAATACAGTAGTACTGCTAAAATATTTGTTTTTCTTCAACTCATCATTTAGCAATTATATTTTGTGCTTGTCAACTCTTTCAACAGACATCATAAATTCCTGTAAGTAGTATAATTAGGTAGAATGTGTATTTATAATATGATATTCTCTTCACATTGAATGAAGCATAGTTCTGAAGCATATGGAGATAGTCAAGAAAAAATTGCATTAACATTTAGCCTGTTAGCATTAACTCAATCTACAGGTGCGAACAGTGAAGACCAAGATTAGCTGGCACGTCCCTGTCGTCTGATCATGGTCTCCAATATTGGCCAGTCAGATTAAATTTGAAAATTTTCCTAAAAATGACAAGTCCATTTCAGGTATTTAGGGTAATAAAGTAAGGTTTCTCATTATGTAATGAGTATTTTCTCATATATTTTCAATGATTGAAGATGACACCAGCAAGCATTTTAAAGCTTTTCAAAGCTTTTCAGCTCTATCTCTGCAAAATGTTACGAAATACATTTACAGTGAAATTGTGACAAAGAAGTTTTGCATTGTTGAAGTTCATTTATTTACTCAAATTTCATGGGAAAGATGAGTATGTTTATGTCATATCATTGCGTTTTAGACACTTTGATGATTTTACACGTAGCGTTACCTATCGTAACAAAACCGTTTTATATTTTATCAAGTTTTGGTTCGTGTTCGATGAAGTGTATAACCTTGTTGATATATCAGTGCAAAATTACAGTTCAAATCGATCTTATCATATTGTCATCTATGTCTCTCTGTTTATAAAATCGGCTTGGGATTTCCGTTCATGGCTACTTCATATCATATTAATCTATATGACGAATATTTCAAACCACAAGAAATTGGTAGAACTGGTTTTTACAAAACTTTTTAGTGAATTTGCTGCAAATCAAACCAACAATATAATTCTTTATGACTGTGGCTTTAGATTCTGTTATGATAGTTAGTTACATTTTATGGCTGTAACTCTAGATCTATACAGTTATTATATAGTTACATCTACATGTATCATGTGTAATAGGTTTTGCTACTTCAAGTCAAGAACAAAGAAACCGAGTTTCACACAACTGTTATAATTAATAGCAGCAGCTCCCTCCTCCATGAATTAAAATCTTTTTTCCGTTCTCATTAATTTTTTTTCTGTTGGGAAATGAGGCATTGAATGTTACATGTGTTACTGTCGCTACTTTTTCCATGTTTTACAATTTTGACATGCATTCGGGTGTGACAGTTTACATGGAAGCTCCTTAGTTACCATGGCAACCAGTCATTTAATTAAAAACGGCTTGGGATTTCCTAGAAAATTCCAGTACTCGGCTCAGCGGCACAGAGAAAGTTAAATACCCTAATCAGTATAGATTTTTTGCTCATTTCAAGATCTTTCCTAATTAAATTTGCCTAAATTTTGACTGAGAACAGCTTGTTCAATTTGTTAATTTTGTTCCTGAACGTCTTCAAATTCTGGATGATAAGAAGTTAGTTTTTCTTAGTTTGATGTGTTTTGACTAGGGGCAATGTTTTGACTTGATGTTTGATTTGCTAACCTCTTCACCTGGGAGTTTTGGGTTGTAGTACTACTTCGCCCACAATCTCGGGGACAGATTATAATCATATCATACTTTAAAAGCCACTCAGGTCCCACTCTGTAGGAGTGTGTACTTTGGTCAGATTGTATTTAGTCACAACAATACTTTCCCAGTGTAAGTTTCTTCACCATGGTCTATAATTATGTTGATGAATAAGTTAAGGAAATACATCATGTCATGAACTTGCTCCTGTAACTTCTGGTATTTGATATAATTAAAAGACATCTATTTCAACCCCTTAAACTGTTGAATTTCTATGATGGTTTAGCCCTGCCTTGAATATAGAACAGTCCATTTCTAATTTAAGGAATTTCAGTATCAAAATACAAAAAAGTTCAGCTACCAACGTTATACAGCCTGTAATGAATATGGTCTGTAAATATTTATTTTAAATTCAGAATTATAAATTATAAATAGGGTTTTTTTGTCTTGATTTTGTGTAGTGATTAATTGTCGTGTCATATTTACCTGGTAAACTTGTAAATGTTTTCATGTTGTGTTGGTCAGTGAAGATTGATGGACATGAAGGACATGGACTGACAGTTAAAGTTTTTATTGACATAAGATCTTGACATAACTTATGATTATGTTTGACACAGGCATGTCTTACTTTAACATATCTTGTATATAAACTACTTTTAGCTGTTTGTAGGGGTATCTTTGGTACAGAACATTGTTATAATTGATGCACGTTTGTTACCCTCGATTTGAAGTTGTATTTGACCTTGTCGGATTGATTGCACATTCCATTACCCATGTTTTCTTACATGTACCTGATGCTCAATTTCAGAAAGAAGGCATTGTGTATTAATGATTAATCATTCAGTCATGTGTGTATGGGAAACAGGGTTGTTTCAAATATTGTTTGACTGAATTGAATGTATTAGGTGGATAACTTGCCAAATTCATTCCTTTCTTATCAATCTGTAGTCTTGAAACATCTTTACATGCAAACACCTTCTAATGACCAAAAATATATAACTCTTGCAAATATTTATAATGATTGATACTCGAGATTATTTTTTTACTTATTTCAAACTCAACTTTTATTCAGTGCAAAAAAGTACATAATATGACATTATATTGATAACGTCTTTTTGTGTATTTTCAGACGAGCCAAATACGCCAGATTTGACGAAGACGCAGGTGATAATTATAGGATGTGTGTGCGCTACTATACTGACCGTTCTACTTATAATTCTAGTCTGTATCATCTTTAAACGAAGACGGAAAAATAAAAGTAAGTAACCGTTACCCCCCTTTACCTTGAAGCTAAATGCTTTCAGATTTGTGCTAATTTTCATGAAAATTTTTGAAAATACATAATTATAAAAGTAAAATATTGTGAATTATTATAAAAAGGGTAATTAACACAGTGCAAACAACACTTACATGTACAATCAAAATAAAGTCAAAATATGCAATAACAGCCCTTACTGAGTTAGTCATGCAGTAGAAATATGGTGATAAACTCCAATATCTGTCTTTAATCACACATAACATGTAAACTATTACTTGAATCTTGAATCTTTACTTTTCTTGAAATCTTGATAATTATATTCTGGCTCAACTGGAGGCATGCAGCCTAATATGTCTTTAAATGTAAAATAAGAAATGACAAGTAATTGTTCCATTGTAATTGTACTGTAAGTTACCACTTACAGTTACCAGTATTCTGTATTACATATTTGAATAGATTTCAGTTAACTATTTTGAATATTAAATGCACCATGTCATTTATAAACTAACATGACTGTGTAAATCATGGTCTAGGGTTATTCTTCTTCCTGCATATTATCATCACAGTGTGATAAAACATTCACTCATAGACCATACTTCTTTCCATACTTCTGTCATTAATATAACATTAATGAAAGTCATCCAAGTCTTTGGCATACCCACATCATGGTGAAAAGCCAACTCTAATAACTATAAAAGATGTTTCTCTTTAAAGTTAACTTAGCAGTTTGTTTGTAAATCAGCTGGTTATTGCATTAAGGATGGCTCAAAGAACACATATCTAGGGTTCTGTGTTTTGAGAATGCAAAATTTGTAGTTTTGTGAATTTTGTAATTCAAATATGCACAAGTATTTCAGTTCAAGTGAACAGTTCAAAACTGGCACATCTATGTAAAATATAGCAAGTCCATTATTTAAGAGCTAGTTCACTTAAGGAACATTTACATTTACTGCTTAAAATCTTCAGTAACAAACAGATCATAACATACATATAAATGTTTTTACATGCCAATCAAACGAAGTCATTATTTTGATTTGATTTAAAGTTCTGATTTTTAACAGTTTATAAAGGTAAAGTGGACAATTACCGCAGGTAGGGTTGTTTTGACAGATGGTTACAGTATCAATCACAATTTAATCAGAATTTGATATAACCAAGTACAATGTATAGTAAAACCACAGTCATTGAGTAGATTTTTGATATAATCAGTAATCTGGTATTATAACAAATGTTGTTTTTTTTCTCTATTTTCAGATTACACCAATGATCCTCACAGGTGAGTAGTGTGATCTACAGTCATTATTTTATACAATATCAAATATCACTTTTGTCATGGTAATACTTGGAATATCAAGATCCAGCCCTGATTTATTTACTCATTGAAAATATAGGCTTATTGATTTCTGTTGCCAGAGATTGCTGGTATAATTTTCTCTATAATCTGTGTTTTACCTGCAAATAGAAAATGAGAAAAACTTTCATAAATTAGTGAGTTGATAGCAAAAAAGTGGCTTTTTCAAAGGAGGTGTTTTAGTGAGAAAACAAACTGGATAACTATAAGAGCAACTATAGGTATTTAAGTATTAAAGAGTTATTTTATAGTGAGAGAGTTGTTTACGTAAGAGTAAAGTGGCAGCAGATTGTTGACAGAGAGAGAGAGAGCCACACCCATGTGCTGTTTAAGCTGTTTTTGTCTGGTTCTTCTACCTCTTAATACAAGTGACACTACATTGTATTGATGTAACATTTCATTTAAAAGATTTTTTCATTTATAAAGAATTATGGATTGATTTTTAAATGGTATTATTTTCTTCTATCAGAATTTGGTTCTTTTGAATTTGTTTCAAAGTCTGTCTGTGTGGACAATGGGAAAATCGTTAAAAAAATGTTTAACCAAGATTAATTTTTGTGTGCAAATTTCAAATCATGTTCATTTGATGTGAAATGAGTGTATCTGGTTCAAAGGTACTTGGTTAATGCTTGAAATGTGACCTTAAGACCTCAGCCATCAATGTAACTTCAAAACTTAATACTAGTATTTGACAGTATTTAATGTATCAAATGAGTATTTATCAATTTCATATTTAGACAATATTCGTAGAGCTATATTGTAACCCATTACTAATGTTATATTTATCTTACAGTCCTAGAACAGTGCAGCAAGGTAACGGTGCAATACCTAGCCAGAAACCTCGCACCTACGATAACCAAGGTATGACAACGCTAGGAATAACAACGCATGATAATTTTAGTAACCAAGGAACATTAACGCGTACTAACAACTCATCAAACCATACTAACGGTGCTAGTTTAGCTACAAGCAATATATCATGTAAGTTGGTTAGATATTTGGCGGCATCCCCCTAGCCTGCCAACATGTTGTACAGAATGGTCACCCCTGATTTCAACACTAACCTAAACATTCCCCCTTCACAACCACTGCTTAGATACCCTGCATGGTGCTTCTTACTCCATGTTATTATATAATTGCATAGACTGTTGTTGCTTTTATAAAATCATACATTTTTCTACATCAGAAACTTTGTGTCTTTTCTAACAACCTATTGTTACATCTTATAATAACAATCTTGCAGAAAAAGCAGAAAATCATTATACTTAAGGAACCATTCAACCCTAAATCATTACCTCATCACAATGTATCATTGTTGTCAGTGAATGATATTGTATCATCATTTTGTGTATGTGTCTTGATCATATAAAAAGAGCAAAATTCTTCCAGATTGACAAGGTTCTGGTCCACTTTCTTATCTTTCATATCCATTAGACAATAATCCACATTCAGTATACAGGTGTTTAAGTATTAAAAGATTTGTTTGCATGAAATACAAAGGTAGAAATATGCTTTTTAAAAGCAGATCTGCAAGTAAATGACTTGTGTCTGCTTTACTTATACTGAATGTTGTCTACAATATTTCTTTTCTTCGTCACCTGTCCTGCACTTTCAATAACCTATTGCTTTCTTTAAGTTGCCATCAATATCATTTTGGGAATATTTCGGAAAAATGAAATGTTTTCAAAACTAGATATGTTTGGTTAAAATTTTGTCAGTGTTATAATATCGCATCATGACCTTGCTTGCATTAGCCTAATTAGTAAACACCTGTCCTTATATGAGAATTCATTAACATCTTTTTCACATACATACTGTATGAATGAATTATGAATAAATTTGCATACTAATTAATCCAAAAAAAATAGCTTCATCAAAAGTTTTGTTTTCATCTTTAATTGAAATATAAACAAAAAACTATATAGTGACATATTATAATCATTATTTTCAAGCCTGCCAACTTAATATAACCAGCTTGCCCTGCTTTAAATTTAAAAACTTGTCAAAAAAGTAGGAAAATTGATCAGCCATCAGTAAAGAATGGGCATGTGAGGCTGTACACATTGCACATGGTGGCCTGACTTTATCACATAGGACTGGCACTATAGGCAGGCCCATCATTGCTAGTATTCAAATATTAGAATAAGTATAGCTTTAGTTTATATAGCCGGCATGTATAATTAATCCCAGCTTTTATCCTGCAATGCTCGAAGGCTGCGACTTGCATCCCACGGTACACAGAAATTTACATAACCAGCTTTCAATTATTATAAAGCTTGCACTCCCATAAGGCGCTCCATAGTTATAAAATTTTGCATTAAATATTAATATACGCTAGTTCCATTATTTTGCATCCCCAATTTTGGTTTTGGTATGGAATGAAATGGAATAAGGGAACATTTTTATAAACAACATACATATTAAGAAATATTGACAAAAATTCATTAAATTAATTAAAGCATAATCTTTTTTGAGATATTTAATATTCTACTAAATTATTAATTATTTTAATAAATTAAAACAGCATTTTAATATATTGTTAGAAACTTGAATTAAAACCTATATATTTGTAAAAAAATGTGTTATTTAGTTTCAATACTAGTGTTTTAAAAGCTATAAAATTATGCATTAGTAGAATACCCTTCATTTTAAATATTTTGACAGAAATTAAACTTTATTTGTAATTCAAATTCTTTTTGGTCATTTAAATTTTAAAGGATTTTAAATGAAGAAACTTAAAAGATGATTCATATTTTGACTAACTTTTCTTGTATTTGTCTCCAAGTATGAGACATTATATTACAGAATAGTCTGCTTTGCTAATGTAACCAATCTTAGTTATTTAATCGTTGAAATTGCTTTTATTTTTACCTTGACTGCATTAATACAGCAATGTGTTTTAAAGATTGAATGATAAAACTTTTATCTTAAAGGCTGTTGTTTGCAATTTGAAGTTTTTTTCGGAAACCGCCTTTTTAAAATAAATGAATGTAATGCATGCTATCTCATAATTAATTCATCGTCATTTGTCGTAAGTTATACAGACCCTAAAGTTAAATACAGGATGTTAAATGATTCATTTAAATAATGTAAAACAGCTTTTTAAAAAAAATATTTGGTCTAAAAAAAAAAAACCTGCAAATAGATTTTGTCAGTAAGAGTAACCTCCCCTGAAATTTGAATTTCAGATGGCCTTCATTTTGATAATAGAAATGGTTATCCGGTCCAGTACGTAAGCAACCCCCGGGACAATTATCCCATGGGTGACATGTCCTATGACTCGCAATCATATGATAAACAATATGAATTTGAAATGAACAGGCGTAATGCAAGTAAGTTCATGATTTCATACCATTGTAAATGTTGCGGAGCAAATTCAAAATCATATCATTGACATTCAAAAAAGATATAAGCTTAAAAGATTTAATTTTAGAAAATACAAAATCAAGGGGGATACATTGGTTTGAAAATTGAATTGATAAAAAAAGGATTTATTTATACTTTTATAGTGATTTTGGTATTGTTTTGTAATTGCTCCTCTTCCCATTAAACCTGGAAATTCTGTATCCCAGTTATAAACAAGAGACTGTTCAAAAAAGAAAACAATAAACAGTACTGATATACAGCAAAAAGAAACTGAAATTTTTCTTCAGAGACAGTTTTCTTGGCATTTACAAATACATTTTGAAATCAAAACCTTTAAACAAAAAATTTTAGTGTCTGAGGAGCGAATTTCCAGGTTGAAATTTTACAGATCATCTAATAACATACACATGAACATGTAGCCATCATGTAGAATATCTTCATAGGTTCTTCTCTTATCATGGGATATCTTTTTGGTCAGAGATAAACACATTACTGCCACTTTCCTCTACTGTTTGTGGTTATAAACATTTGATAAAACTGGATTTTCTATTTTTATCAGCAGTTCTTTACAGGTCAACCAATTATTTATTTCGTTTTGAACATTTATATATTGCAGTAAAAAGGCAATATCTTCAGTGTTATATTCCATCATGATTTTGGTCATAATTTTGACAGAAAGTTTAGAAATCAGAGAATATTAAAAGAACATATGCAACAGGGTGCCATACAATATCATAGTCTGAAACAATAACCTTGAAATGAGATTATTAATAGGAAAAATACCATTTTAAATCAAGGAAGGTAATTAATTAACTTACATGAAGCAAATTTACGAAAAGCTTGAATTTGTTAGTACACTTGTACTTATGGGTGCATTAATGATATAAACAAGTTGATGACAAGAATGGCAGAATATATGTGATATCTTTGACTAAAATTTATCCCAGAGCATGGTTTTATATAAGATATGGTACATGTAGCAAGTTTGAAATGAAGTGAAAGTAGATTAGGTCACAGCAATATTGACTGCACTGTTATATTGTTATGTCTACTTTAAAACAAGTTGTATGAATCATATATTCATCATATAATCAAATGTATATACTTTCACAGTATTTTATATAAATCATTGTGTTATTATCCCATTATAGCATTTACCAGTAGAGAATGGGACTGTCATGAAAAAGTGTTAATGTTACTTCTCCCGAGAGAACGTTTTTGCTTACTTTGTCAAATAAAGAGAAGAAATAAGCTGACATAAACTATATGTTTACTTGTAGCAAGACATAATCACAGTTTTCCTATTTCCTTGGAAAGGCGGGAAATCTAATATTTGTTTGCAAAATGTATTATGGGACATAATAACTGCTCCCCTTCATATTGCAGACACATGGGAGGATTCATAGTCAGACATTGTGCTTTTAGGTCCATTAATACAGTTCTATATATGGAAATTGAGACAAATATGTCCTAACTTTGTCAAGTAAAAGAGACTTGTATTATAGGGAATCAGTACTAACATTAACTGTCTGTTATTATTGTCATTGATTAATATCTAAATGTCATTACATACAGAGATATATAATTGGGTTAGGTCTTTATGTCTATATTACAAGCTATGATAATCTGGGAATGTAATGCACACAGGTTGATATTATGATGGTATAATGATATAAGAGATGGGGTTTTGTCTGCCAGTGCTGCAATACGTTGTTGCCAAGTGGAATATAGATAACTCCTAGCTACACTGACTGTATGTGTGTATTGATGCACACTTCATTAAATGTTTTGGCACAGGGAAGGTGTTTGATGTACATGAATCATTTATAGATCTATACTAGTACAAGAAATGCTTGTTTACCTAAGTCTTGCTCAAGGTTGGCCTTACAGCAGACTAAAATGAAGCTGTTATTAAGCGAAATTTTGTCTCAAGTTTGTTTGTGCAGACTCTAGTATAAATCCTGGCCTGGGTGCTTATTTCTTTATGATGATTTAGATAAAGAAATCAAGTTCTAAATTTTTATAGCTCAACCTTGTAGATAAGGTTGGATGCCAGTGTGGTATAATGGTTATGTTTTAATGAACTTAAACCTAAGTCATAGCAACTTTAATCTACAAGCTAGAGCCTTTATCCTTCTATAGAAAATGAGGAAATTCTTAACTTGCTTTTCCCCAAGTACCAGACAGGGTATTGTAAATTGTAATGAATTCCGTCAAAGTAAATGAACGTTGTAATAACGTTTTTGGATTTTTTTTCTGCTCGAAACAAAGGAATATTGCAGATATTTTTGTTGTAGAGTTGTAATGATTATGTCTTGTTATCGGTGAAACTTTCTGATGTAATAGGAATTGGTGGGGAATTAGTCTCTGTGTCTGAATAATTGATGATACACATGCTTGATTGGAAAATAATTTTAAATGCTCTGCCGGGATATAAAATACATTAGCTTAACTCTTTAAATGATAGCGGCAGTAATAACTTGCCTCGGCCTACAGGCTGCTGTATAAGTTTGCATTTAAACATTGTAATTCCCAAAATTAAGATCTAAAAAAAGTCTATAATAAAATAATTTACAGTGAATTTTCAAAAATCATTTCTTTTTAGAAAATATATTGCAGAAATTTTGATTGTGCATGATAATGTTTATCCCTGGTTCAAGCATTTTTTTGGAGTGAAAGTTAATTTCCTCATTTACAACATAGTTTATGTCAGTTGTCATGCATAGTCATAAAATTGTAGCTATAAAATTTAACCTATTTTGTGTGTGCATTATTTTTTATTATGATAATTATACTCTTCTTTCATGTTACCTTTGTGTGTGCTTTTTGTGAATGTAATTTTTGTTCTTCTACTTTCATTACAGATATAAGTGATCCATTTTACAGTGAAAAACAAGGAGGTAAGAGTTGTCCCCCTTTATACATATTTTATATTTTGATATTTCAAAGAAAAAAATCTCTTTAGCATCTTTAATTTTTTACTTGAACACAAAATATAACTTGAGCAGATTATATTGTCATTAAGCTTTACACCTATGTTGGTTGATGAAAATAGAATTAGCGTCAAAACATCTTTAAAAAAAAATGGAGAAAGCTATTTGTAAAAACGCTGCTGTTTGAAACTGAAAGATATTCAGTTACATTTTAATGACAAAAAAGGTGTAATTTTGTAGAGATTAATTTTACTTTACTATGATAAGGGTTTAAGATACTTACTGTTGGTATAAGATTTTCCAGATTCACCCATATAAATTACCTCTATAACCATTACATTTTGTATAAAGGTTAAAGAGCTGATCATATAACAGTAAAACACAATGTGTAAGAAATAATCTTAAGATGGTCCAAAAAAAACACAGATGTAGAGAAATTTTCAGTTCCTGTTTAAAGAAATTTGATGACTAGAGTAAAAATTTCAATCTGTTTTTATATTTTATGATAATGTGTTTCAAACTGTTTGTTAAAACAGAGAATATAATATTATATGTTATTCTTATTTCAGATTTATCATTTAATGGCGGTTCACCGCGCACACCAACCAAAGATCCGCAGCAATTTATTGGGGTACCGGAAGAACACACTAAAGAAGGCGGAAGTTTTGGAAGTGGAAATGAAAGCGGCTATTCAACGCCAGACAAAGCAAAACCTAAAAAGGTTATATATGAAGTTGTCGTCTGATTCCAACTTCCTAATTTTTGTACTTTCTATGGAAAGCCGTTGTAGCATTCTTGCCTCAAGTCTTGTGAAATGTTCAATATCGTGATGACCTTCACCTTTCTCATGTGCTTCCTGTTTCGTGCCTTTTTCTCTAAAAATAAAGCAAACAACCTTGAACTTTGTGATCTTGCATGATGCATGAACTTGTGTTTTTTTAAGCCATTTCTAATTTATAAATGGCTCTAAATATTAGAGAAAAAAACAAACGTCAGAAAACCATGACTATGGATTTAGAAATAAAGGCAGCTGTTTATTCTTCTATCTTTGTTATTATGTGTTTTCATTCAGACATCTTACAGAAATTTAGTGTTCTTACTTGTCAAATACTGTGATGTCTTGTGGGAATAAAATGTCTTCCAATGTTGTGAAAATTTTGGATGAATAACTGAGAAATGTGTAATGAAAGTGTGTAATGGATAATGCAGAAGGAAAGACATACTTTGCGTATGTGTAGTGTAAATTATACACAGTATTTATAAGTGCAGTGCATACAAAGGAAGCATATGGTTAATAGCGAAAATGTTACAGATGTTGTATTCAGAGGTTGAATCATTATACAGTAGTAATTGGATCTGAAATGTTAACAGACAAAACAATATGTTATTGTGCAATTTCTGAGACTGTACCAAATCATTTGTCAGTTACCATGTTGTAGAATTACCTTCACTGCCTCGGTCATGTGACTTGTTATTGAATGGTAAGATTTCAATATTTGTAGTGAACAAATAGAAAAAAAGCGCATTGATCAAAGATTGTGAATCAGGACAGAGAAGGGACGTAATTGAAGGATTTCATTATAAATTTGTGGTCACAAAAAAATGAATGTAAAACTTGTAACCTCTTTGATATAATGAAACCATCCAAGTTTTTGTGGAGAATGGACGGTTCAAAAAGAAAAAAAGTTTGGACTGTTCCAAGAATGGACATAACTGATTGTTATAAGGTGTTGAAACTTGAAAGTAACACAGAGTGTGACAATGTTGTGGTGTTGAATGATGATATTAAATGGTGCTTGTTTGAATGTATCATTGACCTAAAATTTCATGGTGAAATTGCTTTCAAATGAGATTCTCTTATGTTATTTATCACACACCCCTATATTTCTGTATTTGTACTTTTCTGAATATGTTAACTTAAAATGAGTTCATTCTTTTCATCGAAATTTGAAGTTATAAGTTATAAGAATTCTTGGGCAAAACCTTGATTGGACTTCCTGGACTTAATAAAGTGGAAATAAGTGATTTTTCAGTGAAATATTGTAAAATTTAGCGATTAAGCTTAAAAAAGAAAAAAAAATAGAATATTTTACATTATTAAAATAATGGAATTAAGGTCACCTGTAGAAAAATGAATAATAATACTGTAATGTTTATTATGCAACATATGTTTATTTTGTTCACAAAAATCATTAAAACTTTTATAGATTATCACTTTAAAATCAAAAATATTTGTTTATATATTTTGCTATTTAAAATAGTTATTTTTATATTATAACCAACCAGTTTTTGTTGTTTTTTTGGATAAAAATTGTTCTATTAAAAATCAAACTGCCTTGATTATTTTGTGTTACTTATTCTAACTTTACCTTTTGATGAAAACAAAAAAAAAGTTACTTTTTTATATGATAACTTTCTGACCTACCTTTCAGTATGATATTTCATATAGATCTTTGCGTTTGATTTTTCCTTGTTTTCCTGGAAAATATTATACACAAGAAATTATGTGATTGTCAAAAAGAGTTGTTTATAAAGTGTTGTTGTACTCATATTTACAGAGTCATAACATATATATTTTCATATACTAGTATCCATTATAGAATTAAGGCCAAATAAAACAATACTTGTGGTGACTTGTCCAGCATTCTTAAAATACACAATTTTGACTGTAGGATATTCTAATATTACTGTAGTGCGGATCTTTATTCTATTACAAACATATATTTTATTATCAACAAGAAAAAAAAGTAAATTTTAATCTGTGATCAAGTTCAATTGGAAATTTTAGGTCCTAAAATTTTAAAAGGTTTGGGTACAGAATTTATCTGTATTCTCCAAGTTTATGTGATGAAATTTATCAGATTTATTTTCCATTTGATATGGAATTACTCATATCTCTTTAGATTTAATACATTGTACAAGAGAAAGTTGACAGCACACACATATATTATTTTAGTTGGCCTTTAAGATGAGTCATTCTGGTCAGTGACTTATTATCATGTGCATTTCATCCAATCATTTCTTTGTGTTTAAATCTTGTTTTTAAAAAAATGGTATTTTTCCATGCAAATTTTTACTCTAATTCATTATACATAAAATCTATCATTTTCCACTATATTTTCAATGAATAATTTGACACAACTGTTGAAAACAGTGAATTAAATATTATTTCTTTTATAATACAAATTTATAATTAGTATAGTTTTAATGAAGGAAAATATTATATAGTGTATTTTGTCGGGATACTAAAATAACTTTATTTACTGACACACATAACTCATTGGTTGTTTTTCGAATCATGTAATTATTAATTTACATTTTGTACAATGTATTAGATTATTATCAACCTTCATTGTCATATTTCTTACTTTTACTGTATTATAGTACACATCATTATTATATGTAAATTTGTTCAGAACTTTTGTATTAATGCAAATTTTTATAAGAAAAAAAATTTAATAAAACAAAAGTATGAAACTAGTACTGTCTTATTATGTTTGTTTCAATCTTGGAGCATTAAATTTTGTTTTACAGGTATTTCAGTGCTATTTAAAGCCAACAACCCCTACATTTGCATTAGTGAACTCTATGGCCAGTATTACTATAAGGTGTGTCTTTTAGTATAATAACAATGTGTTCAGAATTATGGCCTCTAATGAGCTAGCTTCCATATTTATATTCCGTCAACGGTGGAAAACATTCTGTCACATGACCAGATATGCTCGAGATAGGTATTACGAAAACTGTCAAAAGAAGGCAAGATCATATTTGACATGATTACGATACTTTCTAATTCATTTGTGTTCTTACTTGTACTTGTCTATTACAGAGAAGGCATTTCGTGTGGGCATAAAATTATATTAACATATATTCTTGATTACTGAAATCTATATAAAAGTCATCAAAACAGAAAATACTCTGTCATGATCACAGGTATCTACCATTATTACCAAATGTTTAACATTCTTAGAATAAATAGCTGTCAGACCAATGTTAGTTTATTTTAAAACGAATTGAATCACTCTTGGTCTTACATCCTGGACATAAAATATTGGTGGTTTATTTCCAAACATTATGTTGCGAACCAAAGATATTAGTTATATATTATTGTTAAAAAGATAGTTTCAAAGGGACTCCACAGCGGTTTTGATAGTTTTAAAGGGACGCCACAGAGGTTTTTTGACATGATGAAACTGGAAATATTTTTTCAGAGATACATGTCTCATTTGATTTATGTCTAGACCAACAACTTGTGTGCAAAATTTCAGATTTTTAACTCGCTCCATTTCTCCAGAATCATTATTCTTACTGTGAAAAATTACCCAAAATTGAAAAGCGTTGCAATGCTTTTCACTCAAATCTGGCTGAGAAAAGCAAAAAATATGATTTTCAATTTATATAGAAGGATCCTTAATTACCTTAAAATTGCATATCTTTCTGTTTAAAGTGTCAAAGTAGGTCTATGTAACAAGAAAAATTAAAATTTTACATTTTTAGACCTCAGTGGAGTTCCTTTAATATAAAAGATGGCTTGTAAGCAGGAGTCTACTTTCCCAAGAAACGGGACAATATTTTCGTCCTACAGTTGATCAAATATAGTACATGAATGTGCTTTTTGACATTGGCAGCCCCCAAATTGACCAATCATTTTCATTTTAAGACATTAGTCATTTTCACAAAATTGCAGTAAAATGACTTCCCATTATGCATTTTTGTCTTTTACTTGCCACCATACATTCGGTTTTAGTTTTTAATCCTGCAACTAGATCTAATAATGGAGAATTTTAATGACACAATCAGAGAAAACCTGCTTTTTTCTCAAGACAAATATCATGATTAATAATAAAAACTTGGCAAAAGATATCATTATTGTACAATAAGGCAAGGAATAAATTGAGTGGAAAAAAACAAACATGAAAGTTAATGTAGTTATAAAAAAAAATCTTTTCTTTTTGTGATTATTTTTCAAAATACCAGTAATAATAACAACAAGAGCCATGTCAACATGGCCATCCCCCGCCGGATGTGTTTGCTCATTGGAAGAATGTATATGTAGTAGAGCAGAATAATTCCATTTTAAGAGGTCTTTTGGTAATGAAAACTGATGGCTATAGTGATTACAGATTTGAAACCTATGTGAATACTGATGGCTGAAAATAACAAAGGGCAATAACTGAAAAATAATGCAGGGTAGGTTATCATTCTTGTGTGCTAAAATCTATCCACCTATGAAGTTTCAAGTTGATACCTCAAATACTTTTTGAGAAAAAAATTGAATTGAAAAATTAAGTATGAAAATTAACAAAGGGCAATAACTCAAAAATTATAAAAGGTAGAGTTATCTTCTTGTGCAGTGCACACCTCCTGAGTGAGATCTATGCACCTATGAAGTTTCATTTTGATATCTCAAAGGCTTTTTGAGTTATGCTCTAGACAAAAATTAATTTTAAAAAATAACAAAGGGCAATAACTCAAAAATAATGCAGGGTAGAGTTATCATTCTTAAGCACTGCACTCCTCCTCAATGAGATCCATCCACCTTTAAAGTTTCAAGTTGATACCTCAAATACTTTTTGAGATAAGCGCTGGACAAAATAGCATGAAAAAAAACAAAGGGCAATAACTCAAAAATTGTATAGGGAAGAGTTATCATTCTTGCGCACAACATTCCTCCTCAATAAGATCTATCCACCTATGACATTTCATGTTGATATCTCAAACACTTTTTGAGTTATGCTCCACTCAGTTGAAAAATTAGGTATGAAAAATAACAAAGGGCAATAACTCAAAAATTATGAAAGGTAAAGTTATCATTCTTGTGCACTGCACACCTCCTGAGTGAGATCTATGCACCTATGAAGTTTCATGTTAATATCTCATAGGCTTTTGGAGTTATGCTCTGGACAAAAATCAATTTTGAAAAATAACAAAGGGCAATAACTCAAAAATCATGCAAGGTAGAGTTATCATTCTTGTGCACTGCACTCCTCCTCAATGAGGTCTATCCACCTATGAAGTTTCAAGTTGATAACTCAAATACTTTCAGAGATATGCTCCGGACAAAAGTGTCGGACGGAAGGTCGGACGGACGGAGACTATTTCTATATCCTCCGCCGAAAATTTTCGGCGGGGGATAATAAAGATTACAATTGACAAACAAAATCTTGACTTTAAAAGATCTTGTGTAAGATTACAAATTTTCTTTTTCATGCTTGTTAAGGGAGCAAACTCGATATGATCTATAATTAACAATAAGAAAAACGTGCATCCTGGTATCTTTATCTTTCACAGCATTGTAAATAATTATAAAATTAGTCTTTAGTAATATATATATATACACAAAATCTATTGACATAAGTGACAAGCTGTCATGAATAAGAATTTTCTTGCACATATTTCAATGTTACTTTGGTATTTTACATTTTTACAAAAAAAGAAGCAAGTTTCAACATTTTCATGAATCCTCATATATACATGTATATACTTAAATGCATAAAACCTTTGAATACTTGTTGAGGGTCTATTATCCAGGTCAGCCTATACACTGGCACAGTCTAATCAAGCTCGGCTAAATAATTATTTGAGTATTTGGATATGACAAGAAATGGACGGTTCTAAATTTTGGTGCCGAAAATGGTGATATATAAAATTCAGCCATTGTAAAAGTAAATTGTCCAATTACCAGATTGAAAGTTCTTGGTGACTTATATACATCCTAAACATTAATCAGACAGAATGCCTTACAGACAAGATACAAAATGTAACAGCTGTCTATATATGAAACAAAGAACAATGTTAACAAAATGGATTTAATTAATATTACCAATTAATTATGTCTGTTGAATTTAATCAATGATCAAAATAGATTTTAGATTTGTAACAATACAGTGAATTACGCTTACAACAGGGGTTTGGGGGACTGCCAAATATCCGGATATCTTCGTACCTGAGAAGCAACCAACTTGAAAACAAGAGTTGGCACCACAGACTCAGCATTGTTATAAGCCATATCTTTAAAAGTGGAGTTTATTGTATGTGAAGGAAAAACCTTCATTGAGAATTTGAAGGATAACAAACATCATATTAAAATATTCTAATAGAAACTGATATTGTAAGGGATGTATTACTGTCTCTAAACTGTCTTGTATTTGAAGCACCAGGCATTTCAAAAGATTACACCAATAGGTAAGTATGTCTCAAGTTTTTTTTCTATATTCCCCTGCATGTTCATTGTGAAATATTTTTTATACATTTTTTTCTTTATTTTCAAAGTAACACAAACATTTAAATGTCTAGATTTATCTTTTATAATATGTTACATGTAGTTTGATGTAGTTTAAACACATTTTGTTTAGTTTTGAAAGTGAAAAATGCTTGAGGCTTGAACAAAACTTGACTCGGCTCCCTGAAACTTTCTGGTACAGGTTTTTCAGGAAAAAAATGGTGACCCAAAAAAGATTCGAACCCAGGATTCCTATTTTAAGGTGACTTTACCACAAGGCCACTGTTTATATCGGTGTTGCATATAAAATTTACAGAACCAAGTTATTGACAAAATGATCAATGAATAGAACATTCTTCCTGAAATGAAAATATGCCTATTAAAACTTATTATTATGAAAGAATTACTACTGTAGTAAGATGAATTTATTTCATATTTAGAATAAATTTTGTTGATACAAAAGCTGTGCCTATCAAATGGACATGATTATAATTTATAAATATAGCAATTATTTCTTAAACAGCAAAATTATTTTAACTATAAACAGGGAGTAAAATTGTATTGAGCATTTACTTATTATTAATATTTATAAGTTACAGAAACCTTGATTCTAATTTCTGTTATATTATTTTTTCATAGGTCAAAAAAGTAGGACCATCTATATTTCATTTTCATCACCAGAGTAAGAAAGATAAGAATGTTGTAACTAACCCTGACATGGTACCTTACTCCCACAATCCACCTGGTCATACATGTGGTCTTCCCTGCTGCAGTAAAGACCTGCAAGTACAGCTACGAACACACAAGCCTAACCGAAGCTGTATTGGTATACAGGAACATGATATTCTCGCACAGAATTTTACATTTAAAGGAAAAATAAAAAGCGGACCAGGGTTAGAAAATGGGTTCTTTTCAGTTCAAGAGGAGAAGGAAACTCCGCGAGCAGAAATTCCTAAATTTGGTAGTGTGCAAGGTGGTCTGTCAGCAATTTCTGAAGAACAGAAAAGTTACAGTTTTCTAAAAGGAAGGGGGATAACTCTTCCAGAGGCAGATGATCCACATGCAACTGAGAAATTGTACCTTGAAGATATGGGTGAAAGTGACGATTTTGAACACTTTGAAATCAAAGGGTACGATAGTGGTATTGAAACAATTCGGGAAAATGAAATAGATTATTACATAACTGTTAAAAGTCCTTCACAACCAGAAAAAGGAGTTCCATACAATCCCAAGGATTTTGAAGGCTCGCAAATGTATCCATGGGACCAGTTAAAAGACCTTAAAGATACTCCTAGTATCAAAACAACAAGTGAAAAAGGTGATGACAGCTCAAGTTCCAACTATTACAGTTCTGGGTCAAATTACTATGAAGTTATACCATATTCAGATGAGAAACCATTACTGAAAAAAGACAAAATTGATGAACCTATCTCAGCAAACATAACTGACAACAAGAATGATACCAGTTCAAAGGATCGCAAAAATTCTAAATCATTTCCATTAGCGCAACCATTACCTCCTTTGCCTCCAAAACCTCCGGCTCAAAACCAGTTTAATCATCCACCTCTGAAAAAGCCAGATTCTGCAAAACCACCTGATCCGTCAAAAGGCATATCAGATACAACAAAAGATGGTCTTAGTGATACAGACTCATCACAAACTAAGTACAATATGTACAGCTCAGTGTGTTCTATATCGAGTATGGCAAATCAAATGACCAAAGAGGCTTATGAAAGATTTATGTCCCTTGATCGTAGAAGTCTTTTGCAAAAATCGTACCACAGGGATATTCGAGATTTTGACTTTCAAGGTAATGATATGCCAATTGGAAGCACAAATCTGGATCTTGCAGTTACTAAAGCCAGACTTAATCAGTTGTTTAAGGATAAAAAAGATACAACTTTGGTACATAAAGATGGTAAAGTTACGAGCCTAACAGTAGAATCAAGCAGTAACAGTTCAAATACAAATGCTAAAAGCAACAGCCTTAAACATGGTTTAGTAAAGGGAGGCATGGAAAAAGTCGGTGATGAACTAAAAGAAAAACTTATAGGTAATGATCAGTTTAACAAAACAAGTAGTGACGATGAAGATGATCTGATCTATGATGATGACAATGGAATTATTAACCCTGGATTTAAGAACATTAATGTTGATGGTAAGATTTTAGGCTCGAGGCATTCTCTAGACAGGGATAGTAGTTTTGGTGAGGAAGTCTGTGACAGGTTTCTACATTTATGGGGAGAGGGAGAAGACAATAAGGTGAATGATGATGAAATGAAGGTAATGGAGTTATTGAAGGAGAGGTTGGGAAATGTGGACAACTCCGAGGAGAGTACATCAGGAGAGTCTTTCAGTGATAATCCTATCACTCTTATACTGTAATGCCTTATCTTTGATAAATCATATCATGTACATCAAAATATCTATATATTGTTTTCACTCTGTGCCTTAACACATCTCTGTAGGGAGTTATTATTCTACCTTTTCTTGTTACATGACCACATTTTTAATACCTTTCCTTTACATTTGAAAATTGCATCACTGATTTACATTACATCTAAAGCATTTTTTTTAGTCCCTTACCTTTAGTAATCGTGTTTCAATAATCCAAAGCCCATGTCCAAAGAGAGGCAACTCTTTCTATATTAATATAGAGGTTCTGAAGAGTTGCCTACTTTTACAGAATTTTTACTCTTATTTTAAAATTGAATCGTTCTTGCTTAAGCTGATATTTTTTACAGCCTAGATGTTGTTTTGTGAAATTATTTTGTTCAACAATAAATCAATTTAAACTAATACATGTTTGTCATATTTGTATTTTAGTCCTTTAGAGTCTTCATCTAAAGAAATATATAAAAGAATGTTATTAATGTGGCTTAAAAACAGTTTCTTTTGCTGGAAGTGTTTTTGAATCCTAAACACAGTAAAGAAATTCATATAGAAAGTCTTTTAAGCAATCTTACAAAAGTTAACCCATTTGCATGCATGTGCCCCAAAGTATTTGTTTTCCCATTAATGTCAAACCAACATTTTTGGGAACCCAGACATTTGGATAAATTTATGTCAGACGAATACATCAAGGATGTGACAACCAACATTCACATAAGTGTGGATTGTAGAAGTGGAAAAATAATCTCACAATTGGTGGGGTTTGAACCAAAAACCTCCAACTCTACATGAGAGTTTGAAGCTTTACTTCTACACTACACGAGAGTGTGAAGCTTTACTTCTACACCATTTCTCCTCCATAATTAATGATAAAACAAGATTGGAAGGAATAAATTAATGTCCCTTTATATTGAGCAATATTTATGGCACTACTCTAATATGACCTTGTTTTAAAACAAAAGCAAATTTAGTTCAAGAAAATCGACACCCCCCCCCCCCTTGTTCCCTGATTTGGTTCTTGTATTATTAAATACACAACTCTTGTTTACACAAGTCAACATGTTTATTCATTTAGCTGCATAGAAAACAAATACCAAGAGACAGTTTAACATACATATATCTCATATACATGAATAGAACATACATATAACATGTATTTCTATATTTATAAATGTACAGTCTCATACATATAACATGTATAAATGTACAGTCACATACATATAACATGATTGTATAAATGTACAGTCACATACATATAACATGTATAAATGTACAGTCACATACATATAAAATGCATAAATGTAAAGTCACATACATAATAACATGTATAAATGTACAGTCACATACATATAACATGTATAAATGTACAGTCACATACATATAACATGTATAAATGTACAATTACATACAAATAACATGTATACCTGAACATGTTTGTACATATAACCTGTATACATGAACAGTATCATAATATAACAATTATACATTAACAGTTATGTACATATAACACATATGCATGAACAGTGTTGTACATATAACAAGTATTTATGAACACTTTTATACATATAACATGTATACAGGTACATAAAAAATACCATGCTTAATGCATGGATCAATTAACAAATATATGAACTGTATTTTTACTTTACTATCACTCTTAGAGCGTAACAAGACACGGCATCACAATTACTTACATATAGCACATTTGAGATGACCACAATAATCAATTTTCATAACAAACAGTAATTATCTCATACCATGCAATAATCATACAAATGACACATCCTGCTTTAAATTTACAATTACCACTGATAATAATGATTCAGGTATTTCGACATGAACTCTACAGTGAAAAAAAAATTGATACACATTTTAAATAATTTCATCATGAAATCTACAGTAAAAGAATTTGAGTAACATTTTAATTAAATTAGTGTAAAATTAAAATTTGACACTTCTTTAAACTATTTGAAAAATCAAAAACAAATCGACAAGCATTGAATTTTTTTTTTTTTTCAAATTTTAATGTTTTAATAATACCTATTACCCTCTTCTGAATACTCATATAACAAAATAAAACCTGACACATCTCTTTCTGAGTGCAAGGAAGAATCAATCAATGCTTTAGCAGTGATTTAAAAAACTTCTACTGTATAAATGAACAGTTTGATTGGGTTTTTACGACACTCCAACACAGTATAGGTCACATGGCAACAGTCCATCTTTACTGGTGGAAGAAGACCTCAGGTGCCCTCCGTGCATTATTTAAGACACAAACAGGCACCGAAATAGAACCACTGACATTCCATAAGCTAGCTGGATAGCTTCCTCACATGAAAGAATTCAAAGTCCCTGTTAGGATTCGAACCCACAGCAGTTAGGGGCAAGTGATTTAATGTCAACAACCTTAACAACTTGACCACAGACACTTTTCAATGAACATTTACATGCATCTTGTATGCACTGATTTATGATAATCATCATAATTTAATTATGTAAACATGAACAATAACATGTAAAATGTATGAGCCAAATGTATACAAATGTAAACAATATCATATATGAAGAATGTTTTATAAACAAACAAGCTTATCTAAGATTTGATGTAAAACAATTTATCTTAGAATAGAAACTGTAGAAGACATAACGCTTCAGCAACAAAGACCTTCAAATGTAAACAATAACATAGACTTATTTTTGTGTAAACATGAACAAAAACTTACAAAAACAATTTTATACTTATTTTATAAATGCATGAACAAAAACATATGAAAACTTGAAGGTTATCAGATTTGTATGCAACATTAAAAGAACTATATTTGTTTTTCTTTGTATGTAAACATGAATAAATTTACTGTAAAATTGAATAGTAGCAGACTTATTATGCGTAAACATGTACCAGAAAATACTTTTTTAACGTAAACATGAACAGTTCCATACCAATTGCATGTATACTTGAACCAGAAAATACTTATTTAATGTCAACATGAACAGTATCATACTTAAAGCGTGTAAACATGAACAGTATCATACTTAAAGCAGGTAAACATGAACAGTATCATACTAATTGTATGTAAACATGAACTATTCCATACCTAAAGCATGTAAACATGAACAGTATCATATTTACTGCATGTAAACATGAACAGTTCCATACTTATTGCATGTAAACATGAACAGTATATTTACTGCATGTAAACATGAATAGTTTCATATGTTTTGCATGTAAACTTGAACAGTTCCATACTTATTGCATGTAAACAGGAACAGTATCATATTTACTGCATGTAAACATGAACAGTTTCATATGTTTTGCATGTAAACTTGAACAGTATCATACTGATTGCATGTAAACATGAACAGTTATGAGTATATTGTACGAAAACATGAACAATATCATACTTATGAATGCAGTTATAAAATTATGTACTTACTGTACGTAAACATGAACAATATCACACTTGAAGCATGTAAACATTAACTTACTTATTGTACATCTATCAAATAACAACTTATGTGTAGAAAGTATACAGAAAACAAACTTTATAATAAATTAAAAATTCAATATAAATGTTTTACTGCTTTGTAAAATCATTCCCTACATGCTATATAAAAATGGCACCAATTAAAAACCTGTCATTGGTTCATTAAAACAAGCACACCAAATTAATATGACACATTACGAGTGTATTTGCACCAAAACAGACTTGTCAACTCCCATCAGATAATAACATTATAGAAGTTTCAACATCAAAATACAATAATTCAAAATAGAGTAAATCATTAAGAGGTGATGTTTAAAATGGTGAACAACTCTACAATATCATGCTAAGTAGTGCACTATTCCTTAACTAATTATTTTTGGAGCCTAAAAACGAATACAAGTCTTTAAAACTTCTTTATCCCTTATGTAAGAAATCAATTATAATAATATTAAATTAAATTTTAAGATTAAAGTAAACTAAATTTTACCAAAATCATAATCTTGCATCATCATAAATCATAAACAATACTATTAAAGTTGAACAAAAAAACAACAGAATAATCATCACATAAACTACCTTCAATGGTACACCAGCATATGTAAGTTTATCACCGTCACAACAAAACAAAAAACCAGTGTGAAAAAAAACCACACCAGATGCTACAGACACTTGATGCAAAATGTAATCCAATTATTGTAGCTGTATGTTATTAGTGACACAATTATCATTATAAAAACATTTTATTCATTTAGAGGGAGACCATCAGAACAGCAAATTATTCCATCAGGGGAGACTATTAGAACAGCCAATAAAAGGGGACTCATGCAACAGTAAAGTTTTTAGCCAGCCTGCATAGCTCAATCGGTTAGACGCGAGACTTGTAATCTCGACATTGTGGGTTCGATTCCCGGGCTGGCCAACTAAAATTACTAATCAGTCTTTCGGATGAGACTTTAAATCGAGGTCCCGTGTATGGGTGCTTAAACACTTGGCACGCTAAAGAACCAGGAGAAGCTTCTGGAATTGGGGCATCTTTCTGTATCTGTAATTGCACTATCCTCCAAAAAAATAAAATTACTAATACTCTTCTGGAGGACTCGCCCATATGGGCAACTGGTGGCGAGTATAAATAAACGCAAATACACACACACAGTAAACTGTTCCTGTTGTAAGTAACAGCAATAAATATTTTGTTTTCTATTGGAACTTTAGCTGGATTTATAGTGACTATGATACTGCAAACATTAAACTGCAAAATGTTCAGTATTAATTATCAAGGTGGCTCAACATGTATCATTTCAGAAAGGAGGTACAAAGAAAAACATTTGGTAGATAAAATAAAGGGTCAAATACAACATTCAAGGTTCCATTGACAAAGTTTGTGTAGAATGATAACTGAAGCACTTAAAAAATCATTGATAATTACCTTAATGTCTCTTTTGATCAACTATCAAAAGATATATGCACATTTCAAAAAAGCTGAAAACATTTCATGATAATTTAGGACATACAATATTACTTCCGGGTTTGGTATTGTGAATATTGCCTAATAATGGCACCAGGAAAAACAATGCCATGTACTAGTAGTTTTTAATTTGGATTGGAATTTCTTTTTTTTTTACAAATGGTTTCAGATAAATAAATTTATTCAGACTAAAGGTTTAGCAAAAGCACAATGAAATTCTGCAATTTGTACCTATGTTATACATGTATATACACTTGATAATGACTGTAATTCCATCAAACTGTGCAGATAAATGGAAATGTAAACTGAAACATGAGTGATAGATAATGATTTGGTTATTTGGTTATATATATGATAATGAAATTTTTATAAAATTCAAAGAAAAAACAAACTATAAAGTCAATGCTAAGAGAGGTAGACAACAAAGAATGTACCCTTTCATTCTATATGTTTATATACTCAACAATATGTGTGGCTACAACAATTGATCTAAATGATTTTCCAGATAATTTTATCAATTCTTTCCAAGTTAAGCTGGTATCAAAATTTTTTTTAAACTTTTTATATATTTTTCTGAAATTTGATAATTTTTTCCAACATTTATTCAATCAACTGGAGGTGTGTTGCTTTTAAAAAAAAGATATCATAGAATCATTTTTCATTAAACCAACTAGAACTATCGCTGAATGCGATTCATACCCCCACCAATGTCCTTGACAGAAGACCACTTGGAAAGGTGGTTAAGGGAATAATTTATGTGGCACAAATACATAAAAAGAAATTATCTCTGGTGAAAAAAAGACTAATTGTACAGGTAATAGTATAAATATATATTATCAAAACTGTTCGAAACAGTTACAAATAACCTTTCATATTCCCAATGCATTAAACATTTTATTTATAAGTCAATTTTTGACCTTCAAGTGTGGCCTTGACCTTAATCTGGCACAAGGGTAAGATGGGTTTTGCACATCGCCCAGTTTAGGTGAACATTTGAGTAAAGTTTGAAGAAAATCCTTCCATCAGTATAGAATTTATAGAGTAGACACAATATATTGTCTAGTATTGGTTGTATGTAAATTTGAAGACTTAAAAAGGGGATAACTTTGTCAAAATGCAATACAGAGTAATGAAACTTGACCTGCATATCTTATTTGCCACATCTCATATATCTTTTAAGTTTCAAGCAAATGCCTGAGCTAGTTTCAGAATTATTCAAGTACATGTTAAAATTTAAGAACATTTTCTAAGTCAATTTTTGACCTTCAAGTGTGGCCTTGACCTTTAGCCGGTACAAAGGTGACATGGATTCTGCACATAACCTTGTTGAGGTGAACATTTGAGTAAAGTTTGAATGAAATTCTTCCATTGGTATAGGATTTATAGAGCGGACACAACATATTATCTAATATTTGATTGTATGTAAATTTGAATTCTTAAAAAGGGGCATAACTTTGTTTAAATGCAATACAGAGTTATGAAACTTGATCAGCATATCATATTTGTGACCCTTCAAAAATATTTTAAGTATCAAGCAAATACCTTTTCTATATTTAGAATATTCAAATAAATGTTAAAATTTAAGAATTTTTTTCTAAGTCAAGTTTTGACCTTCAAGTGTGACTTTGACCTTAAGCCAGCAAAAGAGTGACATAAGTTCTGCACATCCCCTGGTTGAGATGAACATTTGAGCCAAGATTGAAGAAAATCTTTCAAGTAGTGTTGGACTTACAGAGCAGACATGACATAATGTGTAATATTAGATTGTTTGATATTTGACCTTCAATTGTGACCTTGACCTTGAGCTGATACATGGGCAACATGGGTTCTGCACATCCCCTTGTTGAAGGGAATATTTGAGCCAAGTTTGAAGAAAATCTTTCAATTAGTGTAGGACTTACAGAGTGGACACAACATACTGTGTAATATTTGATTGTTTGATATTTGACCTTCAATTATGACCTTGACCTTGAGCTGGCACATGGGCAACATCGGTTCTGCACATCCCATTGTTGAGGTTAACATTTGAGCCAAGTTTAAAGAAAATCTTTTAAGTAGTGTAGGACTTACAGAGCGGACACGACATACTGTGTATTATTTAATCATTTGATATTTGACCTTCAATTGTGACCTTGACCTTGAGCTGACACATGGGCAAACATGGGTTCTGCACATCCCCTTGTTGAGGGGAATATTTGAGCCAAGTTTGAAGAAAATCTTTCAAGTAGTGTAGGACTTACAGAGCGGACACGACATACTAAGTAATATTTAATTGTTTGATAATTGACCTTCAATTGTGACCTTGACCTTGAGCTGACACATTGGCGACATGGGTTCTGCACATCCCCTGGTTGAGGTGAACATTTGAGCCAAGTTTGAAGAAAATCTTTCAAGTAGTGTAGGACTTACAGAGCGGACACGACATACTGTGTAATATTTGATAGTGTTTGATATTTGACCTTCAATTGTGACCTTGACCTTGAGCTGACACATGGGCAACATGGGTTCTGCACATCCCCTTGTTGAGATGAACATTTGAGCCAAGTTTGAAGAAAATCCTTCAATTGGTATAGGAGTTATAGAGCGGACACGAAAATGGAGACGGACGGACCGACCGACCGACGCGACAAAGTGAATCCATTATAGCCCCCCCCACATTTTGTGGTGGGGGTATAATAAATGCTTGTTCAAATGGCAACTGGCATTAACAGTCAAGAAAAATTCACAATTCATCTGTAAAAGATTGCTTATTTTACACAGGAACAAATTAACAAGTAGGTACTCTAAATAGCTAAATATAGAGTGACATTTACCTGTGACCATAAAAAATCATATATAACAAAGTGTCTGATATTCGCTATCAGTTGTGCCAATATTTCATGAATGTTTCTTAAATTTTAGTGTGTTACAAAAGTTAAAACATGCAAAATTATAAGTGCAAAATCATTAACCTCGTATTTTCAGTTCATAGAAAACTTGTCAATTAATTGAAAACTAATAACATATAAAGTTTCAATTAATAAAAACTGTTCATTAATTACCTTCATTTATTGAAAAAAAGTTTAATAATAAAGTTAAATTATATTAAATATAAATGTTTTAATTAAAAGGAAAAATTAAAAATAAATCTTATTTTAATTATTAGAAAACTAAAAAGAAAATTACATTTAGCAAACAAAAAAAACATTCACTAGATAATTCAAATAATTATAACTTTATCATAAATTAATTTTATTGACAAACATTTGAAAATGTGTCACTTGATAAATAGAAAGCTCATAATCTTTCTAGAATGTGTGTCTGGGCAGATTTTGGAATGGTGAATACATAACAAACACCTTCCCAATAAGTTCAACTAGAACCTATAAACAAATCAATAAAATATCTTATCAAAATCAGCCGACTCAATTAAAGGTTGACACACAAAAATTCTCCAAGTTAAAGTAGCACGCCTCCAGATGCATGCCAATTTTCACTAAAATTTTGAAAATGTATTTTACAGTAAAACATTGTGACGTAACCAAAAGAAAGCAATTCACTTATTACAAATAGCACTCATAACCCACATAAATTACCAGAATGTGGTAAATATATTCAAAAATAGCCTTAACTGCCTTCGTAACACAGTAAAAATGTGGTTATAAATACTCAAAAAACCAATCATTTAATCACACATAACATGTAAATTATTACTTAAGCCTTGAATTTTTTTACTGTTCCTAAATTTTTTTGGTTTGATTTTGAAATATTTCGGCTTATCTGGAGGCATGCAGCTTTAAGCTGCTAAGTCAAAAGTCAGATCAATGAAGAACTATTTCCAAAGGGGCAGTTTATGGATTTAAAAAAAAAAAAAAAGTTTATGGACTTTTTTTTAAATGCCAAAAATCTAATAACTTTTTACAGTAAAATTTACTTATTCTATCTACAGATCTTATAGAATAATGTCTCCAAACATGATCAAGTGAGATTTTAAGAGTTCATTGTGGTATTACTATTCACATCTTTCCCTACTTCTGTTAAATTGTCAACACCAATTTGTTTCTGGACTGGAGTTTTTTCTTTGAAGGACAGACTGGAACCACCATGAAAATGCCCCGATTGTTTTGATTTTGCGGTTCCAGACTGAACTTCTACGACACATTCTTTTCCAATAAGTTTTTCTGTTTTTGTATTAGTATTTTCAGTATCACTTGTCGATATTTCACACTTTAGTTTATCTTGCTGTCCAACATCTAGAACACTTTTAACCATCTCAGCACCAACTGAATTGTTCTTGAATGATTCTTCTGACTGTGTCACTGTTTTCTGAGGCAAACACACATCCCTGGATGCACACAAAACTGAACCAGTCTCATTTTTGTTTTCTTTCACACTCACACTATGTTCTGTGTTTGTTTTATCATTCACAACATCAGACACTGAAAGACTTCTTTCATTTTTATTCTGTAACATTCTATTTCTAATCATCTCACATTTGGACCAATCAGAAAACTTCTCTGAGATGTCAGAATTGCTTCTGGACCTGCTGTTCACTGGTGCACCAAGATTCTGGTCCCTATAGTCTGTTTTCACAAAATGAACGGATTTGTCCTTCCCAAAAGAGTCTGTTTCATCTTTTGATACAAGAACTGATGGTTTTATCACACATGGGCCCAAACTGTCAGTGTCTGTTTTAACTATGCCTAACAAAGACATAAAACTTTGATACAGATTATATGTAAAGTGTAAAAGAATCAATAGATTTAAATGAATTTAGGCATTTAGAGATGAAAAATGAAGTTACAATCAATTATAAATGCAATAACAGAATTACTCTAAACAACTTTTGATAATAGTAAAATTATAAGAGTATATAAACTTCAAAATAAGTATTGTTTTTAAACTATTCTTCAAGCAATTGCAAATAAACGACTCTGTACTTTTGGTTATTTCTAAATTTGTATTTTGACAATATTTGCCCAAAATATGGACAGTTCCAAATATGGAAGCTGGACAAGTCCATTCAAGAAATTTAGTAGGTTAAGGATTAACATGGAGTTGTTCATTCTTAGAAAGAAGTACTAATACAGGAGTTTATTTACCATTTTTCACCAGGGTAGGGGGTGCAGGTATCATATGTGTAATGCTGTGTTTTCTGGCTTTCCTTTTACGACTACCAATGACTGGTTCCTTGTTATTCTCAGGGGATGGTATCTTTATGTGAGGAGGCAGGGATACAGCCTTCTGGAGATCAAATGCTGAAATAAAATACAAAATTTACTGATGTTAAAAAACAACATTCTAACACTATCGAAAATTTTTCTATATAAACAAAGAAGGCTCGAAGCGTGCATTATTCTACAACAATGCACTCGCCGTTCTTATTATCTCTCTGTGTATTTTCACAATGAGGGCGCCATTTTTTTGTCGAATTTTGTTGTGAAAACTATCCAGAACGAAAGAAAATGAATCCGGACACCAATATCTTTAATTCAGTCATTAACGCTGTACAGACGTTTAAAGAGTTGTTTACGTGACGTCACAATGTAGCGTCAAACAGCACGTGCAAGTGCAAAACAATCAAATCAGAGTTAAAGAGTTAAGTTTTACATTTATTTCACTTTTAATAATTTGTATTTCGCTTGAACAATTATAGAGTGAAATAAAATAAACAAACAAAGTTTTATCAACGTTTTCAAAATTTGTTATTCTCAAAATGTTTCTACACACGGTAGATTTAATGATAGTTTTTTTCAACCCACTGGAACAGCCTTTAAAGAACGTTTCTATTGGAAACTCTGAGGCGAAAACAAATTTAACCACCAAACATAAAGTCCAACTTTATAATAACAAGATATGTTTGTAAAACATGTATGCCCCCTATGGGCAGCCAATGAGTCATGTGATCAGGTGATGCATGACTTCTGACCCAGGGAACAATAAATTAATAAGGGTTATCTACTGGTCATGACTAGTCACAAGGTAATAATTATTGTGACCCCATAGGTTGTGTGCAGCAATTTAAGTTATTTCAGATCTTACCAAATAAAATATGCATAAATTTTATGAATCATGTAGGCCTCATTAATGACAGCCAAGTTGTAATATTACATAAGACCTTCAAATGTGTATACCAAAAGCATTATTATTTTAATATAAAAATATCAACCAAGGCAACTTGACTTGTTGAGTTATTGGTCAGAAACTATCTTAAAGTACAAGGTCAATTTGACACTGACCCCTTGACCCCAAAATCAATAGAGGTCATCTACTGGTCATGACCAATCATCATATAAAGTTTGATGTTACTAGGCCTAAGTGTTCTTTAGTTATTGATTGGAAACCATTTTTACCTACAAGGTGAATGTGACCTTGACCTTTGACCCAAAAATCAATAGGGGTCATCTACTGGTCATGGCCAATCATCATATGAAGTTTGAAGTCCCTAGACCTAAGCATTCTTTAATTATTTATCTGAAACCATTTTTACTTACAAGGTCAATGCAACCTTGACCTTTGACCCCAAAATCAATAGGGGTCATCTACTGGTCATGACCAATCATCATACCAAGTTTGAAGTTCCTAGGCCTAAGCGTCCTTTAGGTATAGAGTGGAAACCATTTTTAACTTCAAGTAAATGTGACCTTGACCTTTGACCCCCTGACCCCAAAATCAATAGGGTTCATCTGCTGGTTATGACCAATCATCATACTAAGTTTGAAGTTCTTAGGCCTAAGCGTTCTTATGTTATTGATCGGAAACCATTTTTACCTACAAGGGCAATGTGACCTTGACCTTTGACCCCAAAATCAATAAAGGGTCATCTACTGGTCATGACCAATCACCATACCAAGTTTGAAGTTCCAAGGCCTAAGCGTTCTTTAGTTATTGATCGGAAACCGTTTTTGCCTACCAGGTCAATATGACCTTGACCTTTGACCCCAAAATCAATAGGGGTCATCTACTGGTCATGACCAATCACCATACGGAGTTTTAAGTTCCTATGCCTAAGCGTTCTTCAGTTATTGATCGGAAACCATTTTTACCTACAAAGTCAATGAGACCTTGACCTTTGACCCCTTGACCTAAAATCAATAGGGGTCATCTACTGGTCATGACCAATCACCATACCAAGATTGAAGTTCCTAGGCCTAAGCGTTCTTTAGTTATTGATCGGAAACTGTTTTTACCTACAAGGTCAATGTGACCTTTGACCCCTTGACCCAAAAACCATTACGGGTCATCTACTGGTCATGACCCATCACCATACCAAGTTTGAAGTTCCTAGGCCTAAGTGTTCTTTAGTTATTGATCGGAAACCGTTTTTACCTACAAGGTCAATATGACCTTGACCTTTGACCCCTTGACCCCAAAATCATTAGGGGGTCATCTACTGGTCATGACCAATCACCATACCAAGTTTGAAGTTCCTAGGCCTAAGCGTTCTTTAGTTATTGATCGGAAACCTTTTTACCTACAAGGTCAATGAGACCTTGACCTTTGACCCCTTGACCCATAAATCAATAGGGGTCATCTACTGGTCATGACCAATCGACATACCAAGTTTGAAGTTCCTAGACCTAAGCGTTCTTTAATTATGGATCGGAAACTGTTTTTAACGACAAAGTCAATGTGAACTTGACCTTTGACCCCTTGACCCCAAAATCAATAAGGGTCATCTACTGGTCATGACCAATCACCATAACAAGTTTGAAGTTCCTATGCCTAAGGATTCTTTAGTTATCACTCGGAAACCATTTGGTCTACGGACCGACAGACAGACACATGCAAAGCAATATACCCCCTCTTCTTTAAAGTGGGGGCATAATAATTTTATTTTTTCTTGATGTGTTAGAATGGAAATAGGTATAAATTCTTCGTGCATTATTGTATAATAATGCACGTTTTCTTTCAAATGCTTTGTAATTAATCACTCAGGCCTATCTGTTATATAACTACGCATTTGAACTCAAACCGTGCATTATTCTACAACAATGCACTCAGAATTGATATCTATTTCCTAAACAACAATATTTTAATTTCTACGTGTAAGTTTTTTTAAAAGCTAAAATTATGACAATTATTTTTTTTTACAGTTTAAACTTAAACATCTTACAACAGCTGCCAGCAAACTATAGTGGAGATTACTAAACTCTTACCTGGGGTCGGATGCAGTGAAGTTTCACAATCTGTTATTTTCCTCCGTGTATGAATACATTCACTACTGTGTCGTTGTCGTGGAAAACCTCTTTTCCGGCCCATATTTTCAATGGAGCAAGCTGGTAATGTAGCTATCTGTGCTTCAAGGTCAAAGTCACTGTAAAGCAGACAAATATTTCAATCATATTTCTTTTTATTCCCTTTATTAACATGCTAGTTGTGCACATAAGCAATCAAATATTAACAGTTACTTAACAAGTGTTCCTTTATTATGTACCAATGTACAAGTACCAGCCTGCAAAGTGTTATTTCTACATGTAACTGGCAACATTACTACATGAATCTCAAGACATCTGCCGTTATAACATTATATAGTATAAATCAAATCAATAATCACTAAAATTGAAAATACATGTAACCAAGACATCAAAGTTAAAATTTTTGATGTCACTACATCTTTGCATATCACTATTAATATTAATTTCCATAAATTACACTAAATATACATGAAAACCTCTGAAACACAGAGAAATTATTTCCTGTGGTTTAATCAACATAGGATTAACCAGCTGTCATTACATTGATATATATACATATGACGTGACAAAACGTATCAACAAATGTCACATGAATAACTGGTATAATGTTTTATATATTGATTTTTAGATAAAATATGAACAGGTTATAAATATGAGACATATGTTTATCAATTACATGAAATACGGTCAGAACATAACGTCAACGAGAGAATTTCATGTTAGTCATCATGTTTTCTTTCCAATTCATTAACAGCATTTTGTTCCAATTAGGATGATCCCCCAAGGGTACTAATACTACTTATTATTACTGGCAGATTACAATGATGAAAAGGATTTACCGTCACTGATTTATTTTACTGGCATTAACTGTTGCATTTTAACTTTACAATAGAAAGATATAAAAGTTTAAATCAATGATATATAACAATAACATCAAAGTCAATCTTCACTTGCTTGTAGGTGGCGCTATGTATGCAAATTAGCAAATATCTGGATTATCACCGTGTCCGTGGAGACGAGGTATCTGTGGGGTGTACCATAATGACAAAGCTCATATAAATGGCTTCATTTTTTTTATCTATATCAACTGTAAAACAATAAGACAACTTGTGTCTTGTTTTTAAATACCCATCTCATGATTTTTTTCTGACCACTTTTTGTCATCACTGCTACCTGTCCATTAAGTAACAACAGCTTAGATTCAGACAGGGACACCTGCTTCTGTATATGTTTTTGGAGAATTCTGATAATTTCTAGACATTTAATTAATTGAAATTATTGATTTTTTAAAATATTGATTATGATGGACAGAAAAATAATGACGATTCATCAATATTGTCTCAATCGATGACAGCACTAATATAAGGCTCAGTTCATCACTGTCTCTGTTAAAAATTGAAAAATGCAAAATTACCCAGTTTTATATCGTTTAACATCATCTGGATGTAACATCTTATCTTTCGCTGATTCTGACGTTGTTCTTTTCCGGATACGACGTATAGCCGTCTCTGGCAGGATGTAAGAATTTAACGGCTCCAGAGGCTGAATATCTTCCTCAGTGCTAACAATATAATTATTTAATATTCATTTCATCAAAGTTTACTTTAAATATTTTGCCGTTTATTCTTTTTTTTTATCAAAACAATACGGTATATTACACTAGCTGAGGCTCTCCAAATCAATTCCAAATGACATTTGAACTTTGAAGTAAAAAATAACAATAGTTTAGTTATTTTGCAGAAATACTTTTTCATGAATAGAACCGTAACCTTTCATTGTATCTATTATTGGCTTAACTGTATGAATTCAATCATCTCAACCATTTAACTGCGGAAGTCAAGAAATATGTTAAAGATAATATAAAATTCTATCCAAAAAATTTTTATATATTTCATTACAACTGATCTAACCTTTCTTCTTTTGGTGTAGTTTGCTGTAATGCTGCAGCACGTTCTTTTGACCTCTGAATGATCCCCTCATTAATTAACTCTTGATATCTCTGACCCCGATTTCTTCGTCGAGATTTTCTCACCGGCTGAAATTCATCAGTTTCCTCACTCTCGTATTCTACCGAGTCTGTAACAGACACAGCCTGACTCTGACCCGTACCTGACTCCGTCACTGTTTCATGTTTAATATCTTTAACAGTCTCGTCACTTAATTTCTCATATGTTTTTAAGTTGGTATATTCTAACCTAGTCTTTTCGTTATCACCATTAAACCCAGTATTAAAATTTTTAGCTGCACCACCAGTAGCCTCCATGCTTCCTTTAGCACAGAATTTAGCGTCATCAAAACAATTTTCCATCACATTTTTGCCTTTTTCTTCATCACCCTCAGTCTTAATGTCTGTTTTCTTTTCATAATCACCATTATCATCTGTTTTCCTTTCACCATCAATTTCATCAGATTTACCGTTGACCTTTCTTGCACCGGTCCCTAACTCAGATGAATACAGCTTGTCAATGATGTGGTTGACAACCAACTTTCCACATGTAACCATGGCAGACTCTTCTTCTACAACATCATTATCACTTTTCTGATCATCTTTAATCTCCTCATCGTTTTTAATTTGATTAGGTAAAGTCTGAGTTAAATTCTCTTTTCCATCAGTTTTATTGGCCAGTTTTTGTTCCATTATTTCTTTATTTATTTCATCCTCAAATAATTTCCCCTGATTTTCAAAGTTTGCCATTTTTGTGCTAGCAGAGTTATCTCTGAGAATTTCTGAATAGCCTCCCTTGAATGCCTCAGCAAGCAAACTCCTCTGTGGAATTTTTGGGGCAGCTACGGCTTGGTACAGTAGAGGTTTGGACTGAAATGTTTCCCAGGATTTCATTGGTCGAGAGTCTGCATCACCTACTGCTTTCACAAGAACATCCTGCAACAATTATACAAAAATATCTAATAAACACACACATTAAAGGAAAATTAGGTAAAAACTCATTTCTACAATTTTGTTTGAAAATGTCAAATGGCCACTTTCCATTTTTACTGATGGAGGAAATGCATAACTTGAATATCAGCTATTCATTACATACATTAACATAATATTTGTCCAATTATGTCCAAATCTTAATAATCTAATCAAGACTCTGGACATCAAATTTCAATTTAAATAAACACTGAGTGCAGTTTAAATTGCTTATTTTCAAGAGCCATTTCCTGAGGAGCCACTTTAAAATCCAAATTTTATCATTAGGGTCATTAAAAGCATTATTTTCTCATTGTACTTCACCTACTTAAAAAAAACAACAACAAAAAACAATTACAACTTCTTTATGTTTTTATATTTTTATAGACAAACTGACAGTAATTAAATTGTAGTAACACACATTATAAATTGTTGATTTATTATGATTTATATAAAATATATATTTACCAAACAACCATTTTTCCCAGGGAGGTAGTTTTCCCAAGATTTTTCAACACCTGGATTTTTTAACTGCATTCCAGACATAGCTGTTTCTTCAACTTTCATGACACCTTGTAGACGCAAACCGCTGTCTGCCACAACCTGGTTATTTTCCTTTTTATTTTCTTCAACCATATTGAGTGCCTGTCCTTGACCTTGACTCAGAGTTCCAGTGTTAAAATTGTTTGGCTCAGTGCCAGATTTAGAAGATACAGAACTTGGAAATGCTGCAGACGACAATGTGGAAAATGGCGTTGTCATAGAAGACAGAAATGCGGAAGACAAATTTGTAGATGACAATGTTGCCAATGGCGATGAAACAGACTGTAAAGTTGTAGATGACAGAGTTGAGGATGACTCTGTAGCAGACAACATTGACAGTGACCTCATAGGTACTGGTACAGGTACTGGACCCGACTGCTCTCCTGCCATCAGAAGCAAGCTCAATCCTCCCATGTTGTTTGGATCTGAAATTGAAATCATTTCTTGTTTACATGTACTTTCTTCCATCATTCATTGAGATCGACTTGGCCAAGATTAAACAAAATTAGACTACGATTCATTAATCAAATACTTCATAAAAATTTAAATCCAATATTTTTAATGTACATGTACAATGTATATACTGTCAGTGCTTTTAGTATCTCACTTCCAGAGTCATGATATTCTTTCTGGAAAATATAACTGGAATGAGAAAGTGTTTTGAAACAGTAAAATATATCTTCAAGTAAAAAACAAAGTAATTTAAGCTAGCACATATAATATTAAATATGGCTGAAATAAATCAAGTTTCAAATAATTATTGTCACAAAATATTTGAAATTCATTTTCTTCCAGACAACCGTAATAAAAGTATTTGACTATACCAGCTAGTTTTCCAGGTGTAATGGAGCCCTCTGGTAATAGGTTCATATCTGTCCTCATCACCTTAGCATTAGTAGGTTTAGACAGAGCCAGAGCAGTCTTCTGGCAGCCAAGTGTCTTCTCTGGGTTGTGCCATTTATAATCAGGGTTGGCTTTCATAAAAGCATCTTTATACTGTAAATATGAACATAGGAAAATGATTTCATTTTACAGACTTGTTGGATGAGTTTGACAATGTAAACATCATTACATGTAAGGTGACCCTCTTTGTTCATTATTTCAGTTCAGTAGAACTAACAACCTTATCTTTACCGTAGCTAGATAGCATTCTCATTTCTTAGTTCCTAAAACTTTCTGAATGGGCCAGAGTTCATCCAATCTGGAAAAATTTTATTTGTGAAATCCTGGAAAGTGGAAAAGAAAACAGCCCACAACATATTAATTTTTATACAATTATTGGACATTTGGCAATTTTTATCAAGTCTTTTTATCAAATCAAAATCTAAAAATAAAATTAAAGTTGTATTTGTGTGTAATACTATGTGCCAAATGCATGCAACACATCTAAACTCATAACGCATAACCCCTGATTGGCAAAACAGAGGTAAGTTGAGGATTAATGACAAGTGTTTAGAAGAATTAAAACAACAAAGGTTGAAAAGTTTACCTGTTTAGCCAGGTCTGTATATACAACTTTCTCATCTTCTTTCAGATTAGCCCATAGATCACCTAGTATACGTGTGACACTACGGTTATCAAGATCAGGGTTTTTCTCACGTACAATACTGCGATGACGCTTACAGAATATCAGGAATGCATTCATCGGACGCCTTACATCACGTTTGTCTCCTTCCCCTCCTGTATCCATGTTGATCCTGAAATAGTAATAATATTATGTTACAGTAAAAAGTTTACATAAATAATGCTGTAATAGTCTCTTAGAGCTTACTCACATGTAACTTTTTGAGATCTGCGAGGAGCATAAAACAGTAGAAATTAGAAATTGTCACAAGTGCCGAATACCCCTGACATGCACTTGTCAGAATGTGATTTTTAGTTAATAATTTTGACCATAAGGAAAATGCAGTTTGATTTTTTTCAAATGTTTTTTATTATTTGTCCTACATCAATAAGATAAATTAAAGTTTGGATTTGAAGTTTTTATGATTTCTTTTAAGGGCAATATGTTCTTTATTTTATTAATCTATTTTATTTTGATTGGGTTTTACGTCACATGGACACAGTATAGGTCATATCGCGACGTTCCAGCTTTACTGGTGGAGGAAGACCTCAGGTGCCCTTCCGTGCACTATTTCAGGCACGAACGGGCACCTGAGTAGAACCACCGACGTTCCGTAAGCTAGCTGGATAGCTTCCTCACATGAAAGAATCCATAGTCCGTGTCGGGATTCGAACCCACAGCGGTGAGGGGAATACGTTCTTTCTCCCTGAGATTTCTGCACTTCTACTCAGTGAGATCTATCTACCTATATAGTTTCATGTTGATACCTTCATAGTAGTTCTCAAGTTATATCCTGGACAAAGTTCAAAGTGTAAAAATGAAGGGCAATAACTCCAACATTGGGGTAGGGAGGGTTGTGATTCTTTAACACTGCACTTCTATTCTATCTATCTACAAATTTCAAGTTGAATGATACGTTTTATAGTTCTCAAGTTATGTCCAGGACAAAATTCAAAGGGTAAAAATTTACAAAGGGCAGTAACTCCAAAATTTGGGATGAAAGGGTTATGGTTCTTATTCACTGCATTTCTACTCAATGAGATTATATACCTATAAAGTTTTAAGTTTATACCTTTTATAGTTCTCAAGTTATGTCCTGGATCAAGGTGTAACAAGAGCTGTCGGAAGGACAGCAACGCTCGACTATTCTTAGTGCTTGATAGTAAAAAAAATGCTTGATACAGTTACCTCCTCATGTTTACAGGTTGGGGTCATGATGGTGAACAAGTGTGCAAAGTTTCAAAGCCATATGTCAATGGACTTTGAAAATATTTGAACTATTACAAAAACTATAACGTAAATTCTAAGTCGAAAAAGGGGCATAATTCTGTCAAAATGCTTGATAGAGTTACCTCCTCCTGTTTACAGGTTGGGGTCATGATGGTGAACAAGTGTGCAAAGTTTCAAAGCCATAATGTCAATGGACTTTGAAAATATTTGAACTATTACAAAAACTTTAACGTAAATTCTAAGTCGAAAAAGGGGCATAATTCTGTCAAAATGCTTGATAGAGTTACCTCCTCTTGTCTACAGGTTGGGGTCATGATGGTGAACAAGTGTGCAAAGTTTCAAAGCCATATGTCAATGGACTTTGAAAATATTTGAACTATTACAAAAACTATAACGTAAATTCTAAGTCGAAAAAGGGGCATAATTCTGTCAAAATGCTTGATAGAGTTACCTCCTCCTGTTTACAGGTTGGGGTCATGATGGTGAACAACAAGTGTGCAAAGTTTCAAAGCCATATGTCAATGGACTTTGAAAATATTTGAGGTAATACAAAAACTTTAACGTAAATTCTAAAACGAAAAAGGGGCATAATTCTGTCAAAATGCTTGATAGACTTACCTCCTCCTGTGTACATGTTGGGGTCATGATTGTGAACAAGTGTGCAAAGTTTCAAAGCCATATGTCCGTCAATGGACTTTGAAAATATTTGAGGCATTACAAAAACTTTAACGTAAATTCTAAGTCGAAAAAGGGTCATAATTCTGTCAAAATGATTGATAGAGTTACTTCCTCCTGTCTACAGGTTGGGGTCATGATGGTGAACAAGTGTGCAAAGTTTCAAAGCCATATGTCTATGGACTTTGAAAATATTTGAACTATTACAAAAACTTTAACATAAGTGGTTACGCCGACGCCGACGCTCGGGTGACTGCAATAGCTCTACTTATTCTTATCGAATAGTCGAGCTAAAAATGAACAAAGGTCAATAACTCCAAAATAAAGGAAAGCAGAGTTATGATTCTTTTGCACTGCACTTCTACTTAATGAAATCTATCACCTACAAAGTTTCTTGTTAATACCCCTTGTTGTTTGAGAGTTATGTCCCAGACAACTTTCAAAGTGTAAAAAGGGGCAATAACTCCAAAATAAGGGAAGGCAGGGTTATGGTTCTTTTGCACCACACTTGTACTCAATGAGCTCTTCATTTGTATCTACCTACAAAGTTTCTTGTTAATTCCCCTTGTCCTTTTAGAGTTATAAGTCCAAGACAAAGTTCAAAGTGTAAACAAAAGGGCCATAATGGCCCTGAAATTGCTCACCTGTATATAGGCCCCTGGGCCAAGGTCAATTTAAAACCAGGTGCTTTTATTTGAACAAACTTGGTTGACACCCATTAGAAGATGTTTTATGCTTTATATCTAAGCTCTAGCTATTTTGGTTTTTCAAAGAAGATTTTTCAAGTTTTTACTATATACAAATAAGGAAAATCAATGACCACTCCTGGGAGGGGCCAATTTTAACTCCAGGGCCAAAACTTGATAGACACCCATTAGAAGATATTTCATGCTAAATATCTAAACTCTACCTCTAGAAGATTTTTAAGTTTTTACTATATACATATATGGAAAAACAATGACCCCCTTAGGCCAATTTTGACCCCAGGGCTTTTATTTTACCACACATGGTAGAGACTTACTAGAAGATATTTCATGCAAAATATCTAAGCTCTACCTCTTTCGGTTTTTTTAAAAGCAGATTTTTTAAAGTTTTTTCTTTTGGTTCCCATGGCAACCAGAGTTCTGCATGGAATTAAATTCCTTGAGCAATTTTTAAAAATGACCACCAAAGGAACATTCCTGGCTCAGCGGTTTATGAGGAGATGTCGTTTAAAGTAAAAGTATACGGACGACGGACGGATGCTAGACAGACGCGTGACGAAAAGTAAAGGGCCATAACTCCAACAAGATTCATTGAACCACAAAAAGCTGATGATATCCACAACTAGACTTGGTACTGATCATTCCTGTAAAGTTTGGATGAAAATGCACCAGTTGTTTTTGAGAAGTAGTCTGGACCAGCTTTTGTGTATCTGGCAACACACAAGAATCAAAGCACAGAAGGCGCTGAATTTGTTTGGGTCTCAGAATGTCAGAAAGGTGAAGGTTGTGAGATTATAAACCAATTTGTTTTTGTATAGTGCCACCAATGCTTTCCAGCGTTTTAATTGTAGTAAATTGGCTAAAAGACTAATTGCAACACTGATATTCAATCCAATGTTTATTTGACTAAAACAATTTGAAAGCCTTAACTGGGATTTGAACTCCAGACCTCTCGCTTCCTAAGCGAGCTCGCAAACCCCTCGGCCACGGTGAATTTATATATTAACGGCCTGAAGAAAACCATATTATTCTAAATTAGGGTTTGTAACAACGCTAACCGTTGTTTAACACTTGTGTAAATAATCATGGCGCTTACTATAAGCATGTATATCTATATATAAAAAATAAAACAATATTAGAAATCTTTGACCATTTGGGAATTATTTTGCTTGAAAATTAATGCGCCTGTCATTTGACCATCTTTACGCAGTGATCTCCCCTGAATTTTTCGGCGTTAGTGTACATATAAAGGGAAGTAACCGCTCCAAAAAAGTGGACTTCTTTCGGCATTTGCCATTAACAGCATTAGAGTCTGAAATTTCGCTACCATTATTTGTTTGGTCTGACGACCCAAACAAATAAAAACACCTTTTTCATTAAAGGCAATAACTCGGCCAAAAATCATTCAACCGGAAAACCCGTTATATATGCGCAAGGACTAAAGCTACAAATCAATCCTGTAAAGTTTCATTGAAATTGTGTTAGTGGTATAAGAGGAGTAGTCCGGCCAAACTTTAAAAATAAAAATTATTAAAGTGCCATAACTCTGACAACAAGAACCGGTTGATGCTCCC